CTTATAGCCAGGAGCACTGGGTTTGGATCAATGGTGAAATCTAATTTTTTTGCCCACCAGTTCTGTGGGCATGGCTTGGTGGTGGTGGTGCTGTCATGTGACTGGTTGGGCATGGACAACTTTTTTTCACTTTTTAAAACAATTTTTTCCTACCTATTCGCCCGAACTGGACAGGAAAAAAATGCTTTAAAAAGTGAAAAAAAGTTGGCCATGCCCAACCAGTCACATGACAGCACCACCACCACCAAGCCACGCCCACAGAACTGGTGGGCCAAAAAATTAGATTTCACCATTGATCCAAACCCAGTGCTCCTGGCTATAAGCTACCAACAAATATGTCCAACATTTTCCAACTCTTTCTTTTTTCCTGTCCAATGCTTATGTGGCATCCACTGTATGAGTAACCTATAGCTATATATAACATATAAACTATATGAGTAACATATTCTGTCTCCTTGATGGCTTGTTTTGAAAGAAACTCAAATGGAGGCCTTTTCTTACGTGAGAACAAGTGTTTAAGAAAAGGAGTCACTTTTTTCAAAATGTTGAGTGCCTCTGCCATCAGGAGAAGCTTTTCATTGAAAACTGCCAGAAGACTGAATCTTGTGCTCATCCCCTTGCTTTTTCTCAGCCTAGCTATATTTGGAGTACCATTATATACTGCAGTGAGTTTGACCATGGCTTTAGATTCTAGGTTTGCCTTAAAAGAAAAATGATAGTTAAATGTTGATTGAGATGCTTCACTTTGATGGAGATGCTGTTAGGTATTCCAATATATTTCTAGTATTTGATTACATCCTCATATTTACATTATACAGACTATATCAAACTCTCATTTTGCAACAAACAGAAGATCCTGCATGCATAACCCCCCTCCTTCCCCCCCTCTCTCACACACATTCTCCTCCAACCCCCAATGCAGAGAAGGAAATTCAGGAGCCCAGGAAAGTTTCATCTTATCACATGCTCTTAAAAAGAATAAATCTATTAAACAGTATATTGGTTGCACAATGTGAATATGAAATACTAGATGTTACTGTATTCAGAATTTTGGTTGCTTTAAAAAAAATAAACAAACTGATAATATATTTCATCCCTCCTCTGCCACTGACACAATTTACAGAAAATAAAACAATTTGCAGTAATGATTTTGCCTGCTGCTTCAGGGCTTTCCTTCTCTTACTGCAGTAGTGAGATGGACAGGTACAATACACTGTGCTCTTAACAAATATCACTTAAAAGGAAAGCTTTTCTGACTAGGTACACTAATAGTTTTCACAGTATTCTTCTTAATTCTTAAGGTGTTTGGCAACATCTTAAGGAAAAAGGAAAAAAAATCACTATCATTGATGTACATAACAGGAGATCAAGAAGAAATCAGATAAATACACCTCAAGTTTTCAAAATGTTATGCAAAAAAGTAAAATTGCCCAATTTTGGCTGAAATAATCCTTTAACTCAGGTGAATCACTCACATATTGGCTATGCGGTGGAAAGCCACAGATTTTTTTTCAGTTAAATAATACATCCCCATACAAACACCTGAAGGTCAACACAGCTTCAGCACAGAACATTAAAAACAAGATAAAGAAATAGCTCCCTAATCTTTTCATATGAGACTCCCAATATTCTGGTTGTTATGGTAATAATCATGACAATCTGATCTGCTTCTTTCTTGCAGGACATCAAACATTCTTGTCATCCTGCAAGTGTCCTTGTCAGAAGCATCTCTGCAGAATGAAAGGCATGCACATACCTTAACATCTTGGTTGGTAAATACCTCTATATCCACTACACAGGCAACTAGAGAAGAGACATCACAGTCCATGTCATGGGCTGGCATCTCCTTCCTGACATAAATCAAGAGCTTATGTAGCCCCAGAGTCAAGAAAATAAAAGAGCTTTCTAACTCCTAACTGGTCAGGATGCTACTTCAAAAGAGAGAGAGAAAGTGTGTGTGTGTCTGTGTGTGTGTCTGTGTGTGTGAGAGAGAGGGGGGAGGGGGAGGAAGAGAGGGGGGAGGGAAGGAGGAAGGCACCAGCTTTTCTATTGTGCCTGGTCTCTGCCTAATTCAACCTCCAGCTAAATAAGCAAAGCCTAGCGCTGGCCAAATCTATTTCTCATTGCAATGACATCACCACATAGACTGACATCAGCTCAGTTTCCCCCCCCNTATTTATTCTGACCCACTTGACAGATATGCTCAACTGATGGCATTAAAACAGAGATTCAGGAGACTAAACAACCCACCCAATGAGATGAACAAACACATCTGTATAGTCAGATCAATTTCCAAGGAACACCTATTAAAAGCCAGATTACAGAAACAGAACAAAGAAGACCATTGGTCTTTTCACAACTTCTAGTTCAAGCCATTCAAACACACTATTAATAAGCTACAGCCCATACTGGACATGGATCTTTCTTAGGTACTGGGCAGCAAGTCCATATTTGCATACTAACAACCACCTAATCTGGAGAAGATTCTCTCAAGCAAAAGAAAACAACAAAACAGTAATGTTCACTTGGAATCCAGACCCAGATGTCTAACTTGTTCCTATACATACCAACAACACCATAACAGATCCCAATTATTTCATGCAGAAGACTCACACATTCTTCTGCCATCATTTGGCAGCAACGCTCCTCTGGATGCTATGTAGGACAAACAGACCAATCTTTGGCCAAAAAAAATTAACTCTCAGGTCAATTTAAATTCTATTTCAGTCTAACCATTCTTGTTTATCCAATGGAATGAGTTACAGCCATTTGGCCAGCCTGAACAGTGTATAAAAAATGATGAAGTCCCAAAGGTCACTGCAAGATTTCTGACCGAGATTGTCCATTTGCTGCATGCAATGTTGTCTCCAAATGTCCTAGCCAATGCCCAATCTACCTGGCCTGATGGAGGGTTGGTTTGTAAGACTGTGGGAATGAGTAAATTAATAGGAATTGGCAACTAAAACTTTACAAATGAATCATTTTATTTTATTATTTAAGTTTTGCTCCTGTGGTCAAATTTCTACTATTGTATGAGATCCCAAATCTTCGACTTTGGTATTGAGTGCAGCCAATTTCAATTTAAAAATAAGGGTGCGCAGATTAGACCCTGGGAATTTTGTAATAGTTATGTTGACCTTCATACAATGTTCTTTCTTTTTTATTCCAAAGGCTGATTTTGCCAAGGCAGGGAGGGAGGGAGGAATACAATAAGCAACAAAGAAGAAAAGGCTAAGCAGGAGAAAAGAATGCAGAAAGGGATCCTAATTTAGGGGGTTGGGAGGATAAAAAGAGAGAGGAAGAGTGAAAATTAAAAAAAGTTGAATGGAGAAAAGCTACAGTGTGAGAGAAATGAGAAAAAGAGCGGTGAGATAATGCACATATACATGAAAGAAACTGAATCAGAAGGGCAGACTCAGGGAATACTGGCTCTGGCCATGCCCATAGCAGTCCACTCTCCTGTGCCCCTCCATCAATATCCATCACTCCTGCAGTCCCAGAATACTGCCACACTTGATCACTCTTATGCAACTGGAAAGAAGAATGGTGAGTTTAACAATGAAAGCAGGCATAAGCATCCATTATGATTGCTTTGTTTTCTGGTCTTGACTTCCTAAACTTGAAAATAAGAAGAATCGTGAAACTGACCTGGTCCCAGTTTAGAAACAGCATACAGGAGGTCATAATTGATGACTGGTGTATCATCGGTTTTTGATTGCCAACCTACAGGAGGAGAGGCTGGAGGTGAGATGAGGAATTGCTTGGATGGCTGGGGTGGAGCCAAGTGGAAGGCCTCTCCATCATTCTCCAGAGCCTGAACCGTTACAGAGATGAGAGGCAAAACAGAGTATTGTTTCAGGATAGTAAGGACAGAAGAATAAAACAATTATGTTCAGTCCAATACCCCCCATAATTTTGGAACCAATTTCCAGAGGGTTGTTGGTTTCATCTCAACTAATCTGGAAGGCACCAGAATGGAAAAGAAGGCTGCAGTAAAGGACAGAAAGTGGATCCACAAATAAAGGGTCTGCTATTTCCAGGTAATATTGAATTACACTCATAACTGTGTTCCCCTTTCCAAAGGGATGGGCTAATGTAGCTGTCTATAAGGCCAATGGAAACAAGCTAAAACTGTCTTTTTGACAACCGGTGCCACACTTGATCTGCAAAGAAAACAAAGGGAAGACTTTGCTCTTTACAGAAATCCTATAGCTGCAGGGCAGAAAAGGTGATGTCTAAGCAATCACAAGATTCCTTGCTTCAGCTAATTTATACCTGACTATTTAAGCTGCCTTGAGTCATCATGGGCNCAGAAAGATGTGTATCTTTAGAAATGGGCAAATATTTGATTGCAAATATTAGGGGATGCAAAACCCCTAGGCACTGAATTTTGAAAAGTTGTAATTGAACAGTTTATAAAGTTCTTTCTTATGGCTCAAAATCTTTTGGTCAAATAAAGCCAATAGTCTTCCGTGCCTATATTTAGAATGGCTTTTTTAAAAAGTTCTTTCATATTTAATGTTTACAGTATACTGCTATGTTTAGGACCAGATTCAGCAATATCAATGGTTTTGCTTCTATTCTTAGTAGTGTACTTTTCCAGTTCTTGAAATTTTAGGTTTTGATTTCTGCTTAAATAGACATCTTGGAATCAATCCATGTGATTTCAGGGTTTCAATCATAATCAACAATGAGTTTTCTGTCCTTGTTGCCATGTCCCTTCTCAGGTGCTCATCTCCATTTAGCAATTGTCTCTCTTGTTTCCATTCATATTCTTCTTATTTTAAAGGAACTTACATTGTTCTCTTCTTTTAAATGAAAGAAGTAATTTAGTTCAAGTATTTAGATTTCCAACATATCAAATCAAATTTTGATGCTCATAAACCAGCATAATTACAGCATAAACATAATTATATCTTTTCTAGCCCACTCAAGTACCTCTCTCTTTTGAGAAAGGAGATAGTCAAAACAAGAATGGGTAATTGTAAGAGGGAATGGAACTAAAATGCAGAATTATATTTGCCAGGCCTGGAGCAAACCTTAGAGCAAATTAATTGTGCCTAGTGGCAAGTCCTATGTGTAAATTCAAATTTTATGAAGGAATTCTCAGGTTATTGCTCCATTTTACATCAGTGTTCCTACCTGATCATAACCACAGACTTCCACTGATATTGTTCCAGTGTCATCAACTGAGACATAATAGATATTATCTCTCTCGATGGCATGATAAACTCCACCAAATTTCCCATAAAGTTGTAATTTTATTTCATTTCAAATACTTACAGAACTCTTCCAGTTATTCTTTCCACTCCTGAATTCCTCTCAACAGTTTGAAACCAAGTCATCATAGTCTTTGCTATCTCTGACCGCAAATCAATCCTCTTTCCAGCTGACTAACGGAAGCCATAATTCAACCAGCATCCTGTCCTTCCTCACTCTGTTTTGTAGAAGTTGATGCTGGGAAGTAATCTGAAATCAGTCAATCAATCAGAATACATGTAGTTACTACAAAAAGGAGTTGCAAAATGCTTGACTACCTTTAAAACATCTATAAAATAATGCCTTGGCATCATGCTATAATGTCTGAACTGCTACTAGAAGAGGCTGGCTAAAGCCCAGGAACTGGGGAGAGGTGTAAAGAAGGGATTCTGCCAACAAGCACATGGCCAATTCAGATGAAAAGATTCTCTTTAGTGTGTTTTCCCTCAGCTGAGCCAGAAGTAAGTGACAAAGAAACAAGATGACAATGTGGTATTAACCTAGTTGAGGTCTGATTTTTTGAAGCAGCACAGTAACCATGTAGAAATGCCCAGACTTTCCAGCCTCTCGGGAGCAAGACCTGAATAATAGTTGCAGCTATTTCATTTTTTTAAATAATTAAATTCAACAGTCTTATTTGAATACATTCATATACAATAACAGATGGGATTTACCGTATATACTCGAGTATAGGCCGACCTGAATATAAGCCGAGGCACCTAATTTTACCACAAAAAACTGGAAAAGTTATTGACTCGAGTATAAGCCTAGGGTGGGAAATGCAGCAGCT